CATGGGTGATTGGAAGCAAAAAACACCTCCTTTTAGCAAGATATTAGCAAGAAACGTCTCCTAACAAAATGTATGCCAATCGATCATTAAATTCTTATTATCTCCAGCCTCTTATTCCCTCCATTTCCCCAAAACTGTGATCCAACTTAGAACTGTTTGTTAAATGTAGAATCATTTGTTAAATAGTACTACTTTATGAAGCTTCCCACTTTTAGAAAAGAATAGGATGTTTCTCATTAGGGACCATCTCGTAGGGACCATAATTAAACGTATTTACGTTGATGTACAGGTCATTACTCTCCCACGTTATGATATTAGCAGCAATGCTATAAAAATGACTTGGAATAAACACAGTTTAAAATAAACAGGTGGGACTGGGGGTATTTTCTCAACCACATACTTTTTTTATTACTCGTGACCTCAAATGAGTTCCATGGTGTCACATTATTGTTTCATAGGCTAGAGCACACAAAAATACAACCATATTTCTGATCAAATTGATGTCATTTACTAGAAAATGGGAAAGACATCATCTATTTAATTTTCTTCCTTTTGAATTTCACATAATTCTAATATTGATACACAGTATTCATTTCCATCAATGATGAACTCAGTCAAGCTCTCTTATCATTGCACCAAGTACATTTCTTAAAATCTGTGGGCTAGTTTTTTTTTTTCATAATGAGATGAGTGAACACCTACAAGTCCTTTTTTCACCCAGTGAACAGCCGATTTCCTTTTCTGTATAGCTTAACCCGCTCCTTCTTAAGTCCTCTTTCCCCAGACTTCCAGTGCAGACCATTATAAACACAGAGGAGGCTGGTGTCCATCCACGTCCTCAGATGCCTCACAAACCCAGACATGCCCCAAGTGTAGCCTCCAGAATAAGTACGAACGTGCAGGGAGCTAGGACTACAGTCAGCCTACGTTTAGGGCTTTTTTTTTTTAATGTGAGAAATGGATGGGGGTACAGAAAGGATGGAGACATTTTTTGAAAACTCTACCATAAAAACAATCTCCATCATCACCCCACTAAGGGAGAAAAAAGTACGTGTCACTAAGTTTCGCTAAAAAAACAAAATAGTATATTAGCCATCATTGACTGAGTGTCCACCTCTCTGTACCTGAGTTTCTTCATTGGTTCAAGGACAACCAGTTTCTTGAATTATTAGTTGGTGCTGACCGACGGATATTTCGAATCGGTGTCTTTTCCTTGCTTCCTGGATTTTTGATTAGCAAGAAGTGGAAGCTGCCTGAAGGCAGGGATTGTAGCATCCAGAGTAAAGAGAATGAATGGACCGGTTAGAGTCATGACAGAGGGTCTGCACGGGTTGGGCCTAGAGGCCACAAGTGAAAATCCATGAGAATGCGGCAAATGCCATGTACAGAGGGACTCAGAGGAGAACAAATTCACCAGCACCCAGACCAAAGTGGAGACGGAAATTCCGTTCAGGGAGGACTGCTGAAGGAAAGGCCCTGTGTGCTTTAAGTTCCTTCAGGAGCTTTTTTCCCCACACATTCATATCTGGGTGGAGCCCTGCGCCCGGCAGTACAGCCCCCTGCAGGTGTCTGCAATCGGTGCAGACGAAGGGAGTTAAGACACCAGAGAGCATTGCCTCAAGCCCTGAGTTTCCTACGGTCCAGGTTTAGAAAACTGTTTCTCTTACCCTTTTCAAGCCAAAAAAATTATTTATATCATTATCCCACTGTTGCTATTATAATAGCAATAAAATTTTTCAGGGGCCAGTCCCAAAAGCAAGCAGGCAACAGAAAAACTTCCTGAAATAGGAGCTTAGAGCTCTGCGTACCCAGCACACGCTTCAGTCGTCTTTCCAAGAAAGTGGCTTGGCCTTTCACACCTGCCCGCATACCCTGCTCTGTAAGATGGCCACGTGGAATATTGCCTCTGGTGGGGATTGTCCATGGGGGGGACGGGTGAATTACACTGACCCATGAAGGGAGCAAAACGAGGGCTCATAGATAGCCTTAAGTTGATTGAAAGAAAAGAATGTGTTTCCTGCCCCCCAAAGTTTACAGAGCAGGCCTCATCTTACCTAGCAGTATATTATCATCCTGAATGTACTTTTTAAAGCTGCCACCCCTACCTCAGTTGAGATACTGGTATGTTCTGATGAGTAGAAATGTCCCCAAATGCCCCATTTTTTCAAGAAATGATGATTAACTAGGTTCATAGAAAAGCATAGAAGGTTCTATTTTCTTTAAAGGAAGCTTCTGACGTGCTCCTTTAATCCCATTAAAAACAGTGCACAATGCATAGGTTTAGGGCAATCCTGAGAGGACCTACAACATGTGTTAGACACATTGGCCACCTGTAATAGGTTTGGAGCTCTTATTTCTATTTTATTGGGCAGAGTGGTGAGCTTCTGGCTTTAGAGCCTCCTAAGGAAAGTGGCTGGAAGCTACTCCCATTTCCTCCTACTCCAGTCGCACCCCACCCTGACACCATGTCTGAAAACCCAGCCATGACTCTAACACCACGGATGCCAAAGCCACAGCCATTCTCTGTGCCCCACACGTCTCCCGCCCCTTCTCCTTTCTGTTGTCCAAGGTCTTTCCGTCCCTCCCACCTGATGGGATTTTAAGAGACCTGCAGGACCCACAGGATCCCTGCAAATGGCAAGCCCTACCCCCTACCTAGAAGCAGCTCCTTTCTTAACTTGTCAGAGAGGAGAGGATGGTGGAGTGGGGGCGAGATGATCATAGATGCCCTGGAATGGTGGGGGGCATGGGCAGACTTGTTAGGAGATGCCCTGTGCCAGGAGGTAAGGCAAAACCCAGGGAAGCTCGTTTGATCTGAGCACAAAGAGAAAGCAACCTGGTCAGGAACTGAGCCTAGTCGCAGAGGACATGCTGGGTGGCCATGCTGGGTGGCCATGCACCGGAGAGGATTCTGAGTCAGAAAGGAGGACGTGCAAGGTCATTACCTGGGTCCCTTCCACTGTGGACACACACACACACACACACACACACACACACACACACACACACACACTTTCATTTCAAAAGACAGGAATTTAGTTTATGCAACCAGCATATCAAATCTACAAGGTCATTATCACTGCTTAGTGGAGCTCCCTTCAATACATCCATTTAAATTAAAGAGTGAGTCAAGTTAAAGAAAGAAAGAATAGTATGTGGTTTTGACAAACAAAGTTCCCTGGACCTACAAAGTTATCCATTATGTTTAGGGGTGAGGCTATCAACCTCATGAGGCCGGAATTAACCAAGGAGCTGAATACAAGTGTTGCTTTGCTGAATGGAGCCAGGACATGTGTTTTCACCCACTCAGGGACATGTCAAAGGGTACGGCCTATGATCAAAAGACAACTATTGAAAATGAAAAGAAGGAAATCTTAGTAGAGCTATTAAAAAAAGGAATTCACTAGCCATCAGTGGAAAGTAGAATAGGAAGGTGGAGTTCAGGGCAGTGGGAAGAAGGGAAGAGAAGACAGGGATAGGGGAGAGAGAGAGACAAAGAGAGAGACGGACAGAAAGACAGAGACAGACAGGAAACCAATATACAATATACATGTTTACCATGTTCCCTTTGGTTAGGAAACCCTAAGCTTTCTCGTCAATGCAACCATGAGGCTACCTAGCAAATACATCTCAATGAGATTCTAGTGCATTTTTACATTCGTTCCTAAATCCTGCTATAACAAATTTCTGGTCGAAACCATGATTAACCACAGTTATTTCTGAATTCCTGTTACCTTGCCATCCATGGATCTTAAAACAAAGAGGTGTCCTCATGTCACTGATGTAAACATGTAGGCCTAGAAAGTGTAACTTCTCCAAATAAAATCCCAAGGCCTTATCCCTGGGGCCCTGCTGTCAGCAGGAGCCAGCTGGGGTCAGCGTTGGGCTGGCCCATTGTTACGGGGTGACAGCCCACCGAGAAGTTAAACAGCTTGCGGGTGACACACAGGGCGTATGTCACCTGATCCCCTCCTCCGCACAGCCCTGAAAGGACTCTCATCACCCACGACCTCCACTTATGTTTTTCAGAGGGGGATAACTTTTTTTTCAAAAATGAGATGAAGTAATTTGTCCGAAACTGTTCCCTGACACAGCAGTCTAAGTCCATATGACTGCAGAGTTCAATGCTTCAGCGCTGAGCCCACAGAAGAACATCGTTGCCCTCATTGACCAAATGTTGAGGAATGTGTGAAAAGAAAAAGCACAGGGGGATGAGAGAGAATAATGGAAGGCAGATGGGAGAGCTGGCCGCTGGGGATTAATATCTCCACTGGAAGCATCCGAAAATTGCTTCCCATTCTGTCCAAGGGTTTTATGGAGGTCTTGTCAGTGTTGAGTTTGAATGAAGTGGTATCATGTTCATTACACGTAAAGAGCAGCTTTCTTTGGCACAGGTCCCCCCCCACACACACAGTTTTCCCAATCATATATGTGAAAATAGCTTTGGTAGCTTCAAGGCGACTGATCAATTGATGAAATGCAATTGTGTTCTCTGTTCTGAGTTGAAATTAAATTTTAAAAACAAACCCACTGCTACACTCACGGTTGCTTCTGTGCTGTCACCTTACCGGCCTCAGTAATTAGGCATCAAAGTTAAATCCTCAGGTATTCCAGAGAATTCAAATCATGAGATAAAGAGGGAAATTTGTAATCGTTAACTTGCATGACTGAAATGTTCTTGGAAGAGTGAGAAGCCATGAAAGTATCTTTTTATCTTCTTTAAAAATAAACACAGGGTAAAAATGAACACAAATACATTGAATGTGGTTTGATCCCCACCCCCACGTTCTTGATACTGTAAGTCACAGAGATTCGCTGCTAAAATTATTTGGCAATTCCTGGTTCCTCTTCTGGTCAAATGGGTCAATCTCAGGTCTTAATGAAGTAAGAGAAGCAAACTTGGAAATGAATTGCTCTGGAATTGCTGTCTGACTTAATGGATTTTTCTTTTATTTATTTCGTTTTTGCATTGAAAACATTACATTTCTGTTTCCTTATAGAGTAGTGTATCAAGAGCCTGTGTATGGCAATAAATTGCTGCAGGTATGAAATCCCGGCTGGTGGAAAAACTCATCACTATGACTGTGGGTTTGCTGTGAAATCCTACTAACAAGACAATTCTGGGGAGGGAAGATGTTTTCTAACATAGAGGGAGGAAACACTTAACTGAATTTTCCAGTTTTGATGTCAATTCTTCTAGAATCATGATGCTCAGCCCCAAATATCCCCTCTTTGCCAGGTCATGAGTGTATCACAATGAAGGTCTGGCTTGACTACAAATTTCTTAGCTTAAAATGTATCAGGGTTCACGGAGTATAAAATCAATGGGAAGAATTCCAGGGGTTGCATTAAACCTGTTGTCTGGGTAATTTCTTAGTAGATTTCTAGAGTCATTTGAATGAAAAACCTCTTAGTTTCCCAGCACTGAGGGTCAGCATAGTTAACATAGCTTGCACTAGTTTCGTTACAGCTTTTATCAACTTATTTCCACCTATTGCAATAGCTCTCAGACCTATTTCTCACTGCTGAAATAACCCCCAAATGAATAGGTTTGTAGGAAGAAAAAAGACCCAACACATCCATCAGAGTGTAGCTGGCTGAGTCTCCAAATCTGGTCTATAACCAACCTTAAAGCTGCCAAATAAAATGAAATAAAAGTGTACGACTAAGAATCTCAGTGGGGGTTGGAGGGCTTATCACATGGGTTTCCCTGTGACCTGCAGTCCCCATTTTTGTCTGCTATGAAGTCCATTGAGAAAGTACTTTTTTTTTTTTTACTGTGAGAATTAATCAAGTTTTAATAAATCTAATACGGTTCTTGGATCTAGGAAAGAACCAAATAATTAGAATTCCCAAGATCAACTTTTATTTTCACATTTCGAGAAAACTGGACTTCTATGGCCACACTTCAAAACCAGCTACATTAATTAGGGAGTAATTATTATAGTTACATGTTTCATTCTGCAAATACTCATGTAAATGTTACTTAGTGAATACAATGTTGAGTTACATATATGTGTGTGTGTATACCCACATATATATACACACACACATATTATAAACACACACACACACACACACAGTCCCTTTGTTTTACACCAAGTGAGATCCTTGGGTACTCGCAGAAAGGAGAAGGGCCTCGTGATGGAGCTCATTACTCTTTAGCTGCACACTTAACACTGAAGGGAAACACACACACAGGTTATGGTCCTACCCACCCCCATGGGCCCCCCAGCATGCAAACATTTCACTTCGCTTCCCAAGTAATTCACCGTTTGGATATTAGAGCATCCTTATCCAAAAGTATGCTCTAAAGTGGAAAATGTGATTTCCTTTGTCAAATGACTTGGAGATCCACAAAGCTCGTCAATATTGTTTGAGGAAGCCCACAAATGGAATAACCAGGCTCATTCTGTGTAACTCAGCATGTCCCAAACCTCTTTGGTCTTGGAAGCTTCCTTTTCATGCCTCTATTCATATCCCACCAAGTGTAAGCTTGTAAATGCTTCCTTGGCGTCATCAAAGGTCCTCATCAGTGACTTCCCGCGACCTCCAAGGGCCTCGCTAATGGAGGAAATGGTTCAGACCATGGGAGGTGGATCTTGGTTGGCCACATGGTGGTGGTAGAGGTGGGAGGGGGAAATTCATAACGGCCATTTCAAATTTATATTTTATATAAGGTCACATTCATATTTGGCCGCCCAGCCTGGGAAGAAATGAGTGTGTTTTGTGAGTAGGGAGTGTAGAACTTTACATCGTGTTTACCATCCCTTTTCCTTTGCTTTTGGTGGTGAAAAAAATCTCCTTGTCAAGGACACATATTTTTGTTCTATGGTCTGGAAGGACCCGTTTCAACATGAACTCGATTTTGTGCCAGCAAATGGGAGTGAGCGCTCCTTTTTCCAACATTACCATAGAACCTTGCAGAAGCTTTGGCTGTGCTCAGCTAGCTGCAAAATATAGAGCAATAAAATTGATTAGAGTCACCTGTTAGAAAGGCAAATTAAAGCAATTTGTATTTTTTTGATCATTTTACAGTGTATGCACACATATACCGAGGTAATACACAACTCTGTTATTCCCCTAATATGGATTTTGTACAGAAGAAAAATAGCAAAGGAGGACAATGCAATCTATAGATCTGGAAGTAGCATGTTGCCTATCCTTGTCTCTCTCCAAATAGGCCATATTTCAGGGATCACTTAGAACTGGATTGCCCAGGACTGTAGCCAGCAGCCCCGAGTGGCTGTTTACATTTAGATTCAAATAGACTCATAATAAATAAATGAATAATTCAGGTGATTTGTACCAGCCACATTTCAAGTGTTCAGTAGTGACCGAGGACAAGCGGCTACCAGGGGACAGCACAGATTCAGAACATTTCTGTCATCACCACCAAGAAGTCTGCTGAACAGCAAGGAGACCACTGCTCAAGGTCAAAATCTCTGCTGGCTCCAGACTTCAGCAAACTATGATCTTGGCCCTTGAATAGAGAGTGCTTGTAAAGAAATCCTAAATCACAAAGGCAAAAGTCAGGGCATTGACCATGTGCATCTGTCCTGCAGAGAAACACACACATGTTTTCTCTTAAATGGCCAAGTCATATGCATGGCTCCTTCCCAAATCTTCATAGATGAACACCTCTGTTGTGCAGAAGCATCCCAGGTGTGCACACATCATTCGTACACTGAATACCGTCTAACAGTCAGCAAGGTTCATTTTAGTTTCCTTCTATTTCCACTGCAGCATCTGTGTCCACTTCTCCAACTTGCTACCTACATTCTTTGAGGGAAACTACTGCAGAAGTTGGGGGAGACATGCAGAGTTCAAACAGCAAAGGGTTTGCAAGGGGAACCTGCTATATATAAATCTTCGGTGGGACCAAATTCAGTCACCAAATCATGATTGAATTATATGGCACTTAATATCTTTGCAATAACTTTTTGTTTTATTCCGGGAGAGAAAAAATACACACATGCACACACACTTTTGCACTCAAAGCTTTCAGATGGTTGCAACTAATGCCTCCTGACAGTCAGGGAGCCCATTCCAGCCCCTCCCTACCTCGTTGCATTTAATGTACACCCCTGCACACCTGTGTCTTTCTGGGTGCATCATGAAAGCCCAGGAGATGGACAAGCATATGAAAAGCATGTTATTCTGAAAGTCAGCTATGGCTAGACAGGGATAGAAATAAATTATTGAGATCAATGTCTACATTTCAAAAGATCTTTGTTTACAGCTTTGCCAATCAGTCATCTACTATCCAACTACTCCACTGTCCCCTATACCAGGAAAGCAAGTGTAAATGTATACCCCCCCAATCATGATTTTAATGTCAGACCCCCCACCCCCTCCACAAGTGATTTTTCTGTTAGATGCCCTCTTAACACTGTTGTGAGTGCCCCTTTATGGTGAGGGCGAATCCCCTCCCCTCAGAGGATTATGGGACTATGAATTCTAATTAGAACATGAACTGTCCCTGTGTGAAGGGCGGAGACTGAATCCTGTTAATTGTGCTGAGATCATTCCACAGTGGTTGATGTATTGCCCTGGTCTGCTGAGCAAGAAGCTCTGTTATTTTCACAGTTTGATAATCAATGCTCCACTGAACACAGTTCCTTTCCAATATGTCTATTTGCTTGTCCTCTGCTTAATTGAACAATTGCAATAACTGGTACATACAACAAAATGTTAATTATTTTTTCAGCTTTTTTCTCATTTAATGATTTTATTTACAAATTGGAAGACTTTATCATATTTTCCACACCAAACAAATTCCCCATCTGAACCAGCGTGATATCTTTAGCTGAAAAGACAGATTTTTTAAAGAAGGGTTCACCCATTCCTTTTGTTAATAATTAACATTTAGAAAGCTAGAGACAGCCTTCTGTAATTGCTTCAGTGGTTAAATGACTACATATGCAAGAGATGACTAATAAATTTTCAATTCAAAGGGTTATCTTATCTTTGTAAATGAATGTAAGTCAGGAGGACATCCGCGTGACCTATATTGGCTTTCTAAGGAAGCAACCAAGGGTCATTTGAACAAAATGTAAGTTAGCAGCTAAGAAGTAAAGGTAAAAGAAAGCATACTCATTTCTGAAAATCTGGAAAGTTCAGCCAAGTATAGAGTGTTTAAATAATCCGTTAATCCTCCCCACCCCAAGACCATCACTGTTAACATTTAGGTAGGTTCCTTTCAAAGGATCTCCCTTTGGGACATGCTTACAACTGCTAACCTTTAACATCCAGCTGGAGTTGGTATTCAACCCCCTGTCTTTCCAATGCGTTGTGTACTTCTGCTTCAATACTAAGCTTTGGTTAACCTCCACTTTAGACTTTAGATTTGGGTAATTGCTGTTCTGGTGTGGTCTCACAGGTGGGCGTCCCCAGAGCCGGGCTCCTCCGCGTCCCTAAGTCAGTGTCTCCTTGTGTTTCAGGGTGGTTACGCTGCCTACCGCTACGCCCAGCCTACCCCTGCCACAGCTGCTGCCTACAGTGACAGGTAAGGGCCTTCCTTCTCATGCTTGACAACTACTGGAAATTAACTTAGCTGGTGGCACAAGGGATTCTCGTCCAGTCTGGGTGCAAATGCATGACTGCTGAGAAGGCAGCACCCAAAAAGTTTGGTCCCGCAGTGAAGGTAAACACAGGGCCATGTAGAGAGAGGATGAACCCGTAAGTCTAGGTCATTCTAAAATCTCACCCTCTCTGCTAAGATGTAAAGAAAATCGGTTCTGTCCATGCATAGCTGTTCTTCAGATCTCCTAATTCCTGTGAGAGCACACCTTGCACGCACACACGAACACTCCCTGTACACCCTTCTCATGGTCGTCTTTGGAACACCGTGGTTTCAACTGAGTCATAGGAAGAAAGCCAGGCTTACCTCGGTTTCAAGCACCCCGTTTCCCCTTTTTACAACTTTTTGCACCCAGTGACACATTCCCTCCATTGCATTTTTTAATCCAAAATAAAGGAACGGGAGAGGTGGATCTGGCATTCCCCTGGAGATTTCATTCTTTTTGGCAATGCCCAGTGTCCCATCCTACTAAGATAAGCTGACTTTTATGTGTAATGCACACCACATGCTAAGACTAGCAGCAGAAGGGACCGAAGTGGGTTTAAGAAATGCAGAAGTCAGAATGGATGGCGGGGTGGGGGCGGGAGTGGAGGATCTTTACTACCCATTACCCAGGCGCAACAGACGCCTCGGTTCCTGAAGTGGCAAGCCACGGCTATTTTTGCATAGGTGCCTTGAGAAAAGAAAGTGTGTGTTTCCATATTGAATGCAACTTGCTGGCTCTGTCTCTGAGGACATAAATGTGAATGTTCAGATGCTCTGCATGCACAAATGTCATTGAGGTGCTTATTTTTGGTAATGACTCCTTTCATTTAAAAATGTGTCTCATGAATAAAACAGTAATGATAACAATCTGCATGTGTGGCTGAGGCATGCTGTGTCAGACAGGTAAGCAGGCAAAGTGGGGGACCCTGAAACGCCAGCAAGCGTGCGTCTCCTCCGTGACCCGTGGTGACTCGGCCCCCCCTCAGTTTGCTGTGTGCTTCCTCTGCAGTCCCATCCCATTCCTCACGAGATCTGTTGTTAGCTGATCGTAGCTCCAGAATGCTTCTCTTCTGACGTATATGAAAGCAAAATGAGTTCTTGAACCCTGAAAGCTGCACTTTGAAAACTTCATGCATAATCCTGTAGTGAGTTCCATCTCTGGTAGGATAGAATCGAGATCTGAGAAAGCATCATCATTTCTGAAAATCTGGAAAGTTCAGCCAAGTATAGAGTGTTTAAATAATCTATAATCCTCCCCACCCCCAGACTATGTGCTGTCTGGCTATAGGCAGGTATTTATACTATTTTCCTACAAACAGCCATCACCAGGGCTCAAGGCTGATGGGATCCTCTAAAGAAATCCACACCAACATGCCTCGAAATATATAAATCATCCAGTTACCCAGTAATCAGCTGCCAACATGCAAAATACGTTTTATGTAAGTTGCTATCTTCAATACACTCTGACACTGGATTTGAAATGTAGAGAGGGTCAGTAAGGCTAACAGAAGTGGTGACAGTCTTGGCATACTCAGAAAGACTTAATGCTATTAAATTCTGCACACTGAAGCCTTGCAGAGTATCTGTTGTAATACGGTTCATCTACAACCCTTAATTATTTTCATGAAAATATCTCTAGATGCTAAATTCTCAAACACCCACTTTGTGTGTAATTATAATCACAGTAACTTTAGCCTGCAGTATAATTATAAGAATCTTCAACGGGTTTATTTCTTTGGATCTTTATCTTGCTTTCTCAGGATAAGGGCATCTATCCCCAAGTTGAGAAAAGGTTAATTACAAAGATATAATTTAAGTTGCCTTCTTCAAGAAGACCAATCTTAGACATTAAAAAAAATAATAATAAACGATGTTTAATACTATTCTTAGATAGAATTACTTAAGAATCTGGCCATCTCCATTTGCATTCATCTAAAAATTAACTAAAAATTCTACTGTGTTCGAGGGCAACATATATGCAAATATATGAATCAAATCTGTTATTTTAATATTATTAAGATTTCTCATTGGCAACATGTCCTACTGAAAAATTGCCCTCATTCTTGGGCTGGTAAATCTTGAATAATCCTGCAATTCCCACTTTAGTTGTACAGTTTCAGTTGAAGAAACCAACTAAATATACCCTTGTCCATGTAATTGGCCTCTTGCTGTTCATTAAAGAAATTTGCACATTAGGTCTTCTTGGTTGCTGTGGAAATTGATTACTAGCCCTATTTAACGTCATTATAAGCAAGGCCCTGGCCACATGTGGGATTATTGCAGCATTGAGGTAAATCCAGTAATAGGTAAATTAGCAGAAAACAATCTTTAAAGTGGCATTTCTGGTTTGATTGGTAAAGTGTATTTATGAATCGGTGGTACTTCCTTTTCTTTTCGCTAAGCACATAAAGAGAAGGAAGATCCTTTAGTAGAAGACATGTATTTTGGGGAAATGTAAAATCATCAAAAGAGCTTTTGAATCCAGATGAAAGATGCCAAGAGTCTAGAATTTATCTCAGGGCATTTGTGTCATAGTTTATTTTACACAATCACAGGATGACGTCAGTGGTGACAGTGTCTCAGTTCCTGTTTTCTAGAGGATAGGCAGGTCGACCAAGAGAAAACCCCTCTTAGCCCAAAGAACTTCTTCCAAATCGGGAGCAATATCAGCGGGCATCAAGGATATTCTGGTAGGGTGCATCATTTGTCCTCCTGATCAAAGGAAAAACCACGACAAACTTTCCCTGTGATCATGAGATTCACTCTTTAGACATCTTGAAAGCCAAAGAACTTTGATGTCCCCAGTTGGTAGAATTTTAACTTTTATCAGCACAAGTTAGGCCCTCATCAAATTAAAGATTCAGGGACCTTTGGAAAATACTGAACTCCAGTAACTTCAGGACAGTCCAGAAGGTCCTTGATGGGCACCTGGCAACTCCCTGCCCATCATCTTCGTGGCTAAATGATCGCATGCTGATTATCTGGGAGCATCCTGAGAGATTCTGAGTGCTGACCTCCAGAATGAAGACCATCTGGTATGGGCAGAGATTTCCCCAAAAGAAAAAGACCTGACTGGAGTAGGTAATTTCATAGCCTCTTTGACAGATTTGATGGGAATAGGCAACCATCGTTCTTTCGTATTTAGGAAGCCTTTGGTAAGCGCTTGACCTCACCAAATCCTTATTTTTAATCTCACTTCAATTTATGCAAAGCCACCTGTCCAAACTCTGTGAGATTGTTTTCTGAGCTTGAACCAATCAGAGCATGGCAGTGGGGCCGTCGGTCATCTCGTCATTGCATGCCACTTGGTGTCGGTGATGTGTCCATGATGCGTTCTGGACTTGACAGGTCCATCATCACGTGAGCTCGATGGATGGCTTGCTTGAATTAAGCCTCAGGGCAGGCTTCTCTTTACGGACTGGCTCTTGGTTTCTTTGTGTATTATGACTTGCTTGTTGCTGCATCTTTGAGCAAAGTGGGAGGTGGGGTCCAGCGTGGGTGGGAGGGTAGATTCCTCGTTCAATGGGTTATGCCACAAATATGTGGGGAAATACACATGATGTGTACAGCTTCAATGAAAATGTTCTCTCACCAGAAAGGCAGACATCTGTCATGCTTGTCCTGCTTGCTACACATTCTAACATCTCCTAACAATCGGTGCATGAGAGCGTCCCTCCACCTCAGGGCAGAAGGGATATAGATTCAAAGCAGCTAAGAGAAGGAAACAAGCCAGAATCGTACACTCGGAAATTTCACAGCAACCCAGTTGCACTGAGAGTCACCAGGAGTCATTTCTTCTTTCACCTAAGACAGGCATTTCCTTTAAAGTTCCCTGAAACTCAGCAGCTTTTGACATACAGTAGCAGCCCTGGCCACCCAGGGGCCCTGAGACTGAGCAAAGGCAACAGCAAGCAACAAGGTTTTGTTTGTTTTATTTTGTATCCTTTTTTGTTTGTTTTTGGAGTCCTTACATCTCATTGGCAACAAAGCATTAGACCGTACCATATGAAAATGCTGTTTTTCTGTGACAAAAATGGTGGAATATTGACAATCTCATACAGACCAACTTGATAGAAACTCAACTAAAATGCTCTAATGTCAATTATCTTGCTTCCTGCATTTGAAACATATCTATGTATACTCATACATATATGTGTGTGTTGTGTGTGTGTGTATGTATATATATATATATCCAAATACATAAGTGAAAAATATATATATATATACTCAACACATACACACACACCTATGCCTTAGGACCTCATGAAGGACTCAGTGGAGCATCTTGGTGAATCTTAATAAAGAGGCCAGGACTTCTCAAGTTCAGTCATAAGCCATATGGTAGAACATCATTTAAATGTGATATTCATAACCTATGAATAAAAGATTCTATTTCAGAGAGGAATAGATTAGTAGTTCTTTCTCAAAACTCAATAGTAGGCATGTCTTCGGGGTCCTGGAAAAGCTGGTCTACTATTTAAAGTTATACAGGGGACAGAGAGAAAGATACATATATACATACATAGCTGGATGGATGGATGGATGGATGGGTGGGTGGGTGATGGATGGATGGATGGATGGGTGGGTGGATGGATGAATGGATGGGCGGGTGGATGGGTGGATGGATGGATGAGTGGATGGGTGGGTGGATGAATGGATGGATGGATGGGTGGGTGGGTGGATGGATGGATGGGTGGGTGGATGGATGGATGGATGGATGGATGGATGGGTGGATGGATGAATGGATTGGTGGATGGGTGGATGGATGGATGAGTGGATGGGTGGGTGGATGGATGAATGGATGGATGAATGGATGGATGGATGAATGGATTGGTGGATGGGTGGATGGATGGATGAGTGGATGGGTGGGTGGATGGATGGATGGACGGGTGGATGGATGGATGGATGGGTGGATGGATGGATGGATGGATGGATGGATG